CAGACTCCACCACCAGACTCCACCACCAGACTCCACCACCAGACTCCACCACCAGACTCCTCCAGCAGACTCCACCAACAGACTCCACCTTCTGACTCCACCTTCTGACTCCACCTTCTGACTCCACCACCAGACTCCACCACCAGACTCCACCTTCTGACTCCACCACCAGACTCCACCACCAGACTCCACCACCAGACTCCACCAACAGACTCCACCAACAGACTCCACCAACAGACTCCACCACCAGACTCCACCACCAGACTCCACCACCAGACTCCACCACCAGACTCCTCCATCAGACTCCATCACCAGACTCCATCACCAGACTCCATCACCAGACTCAACCAACAGACTCAACCATCAGGCTCCACCATCAGGCTCCACCACCAGACTCCACCACCAGACTCCACCACCAGACTCCACCACCAGACTCCACCACCAGACTCCACCATCAGACTCCACCATCAGACTCCACCATCAGACTCCACCATCAGACTCCACCATCAGACTCCACCTACAAAGGAACTAACCCTTTGAGGGTCTACAGTCTCTGCATGAACTAGAAAGGGGGACAGAGCACTCACCTTGTTCACAATGTCCTCGTTGTTGCGGATGAAGTTCTCGAAGTTGACGGCGGGATCCCAGGGGTCACACTGGATATATATACTGTTACTGGTCAGCTCCGACTCCCTGTGCCGCGTCACCGCCAGGCTGTACCTGCCAATCACACAGACATGGACAATGAATCCAGAGACTCCAGAAATAACGGATGCATCTTCCCTGGGAGTGTTTCTGGGTTTTCCTTCTCTTTCTATGAACGGCCTTCCATTACAAACATGAGACACAGCACTTAGTTCCGAGTCCTTCCGCAAGTTTTCCCCATTAAATTCCCCAAAATACCTGTTGATCCCGCCAGTGAAGTCCACCTAATGCAGCTTCCTGTGACGGGGTGACAACAGTGCTGCACCGCTCCTAAATTCAGAGCAGAGCTGTCACCTTCATGTAGGCTGTGTCTGCTTGCACTACAGTGGGAGGAGATGATGTTGCAGGGGGCGTGGCTATCAGCATTGTGACTTCTGATTTAGGAGCCTGTAGCTTGTCAATCAGCACCTGGCCACACCTAGTCCCACCCACTTCTTTCTGGATTGACAGCACTGCTTCTGTTGCTGAAACCCTCCCACTGTGAGCTGCAGTGGCTGGGAAGGGGAGGAGTGAGGCACAAATTAAGGATCATTTGCCTCAGTCAGGGGAGCTAAAGGAAGTTTTTGGTTACCGTTGTAGCCCCCCCCCCTCACCTTCTGTGGTGTGGCTACTAGATATTTAGTGATAGCCGGGGCTGTAGTCGGCCTGGCTGGATTATAGTGGCAATTATCTGGTTAATTCCCGGTGTCTAGCCTGACCTGTACCCCCCCCCCCTGGGCGGAGTGTGACTCTGTCATATTGTGGGACAGCCAATGGAAGATACTGTAATGTATGTACAGTACAGCAACCAATCACTGAGTCTCTCTCAGCCAGTGGTGCATGCTGGGATGGGGTACATATGCTGGTGGTATTTCCCATGTGCTCAGACTAGCCAGGACCAGCCATGGAATAGGGCTGGGTCCTGTTCAGCATGCCCTCCAGGCTAGGCCTGGGGGTGGGCCTGGGCCGGTGTGAGGGAAGAGGTTTCCCTGATGCCTCCAACATGGAGGAGACCTGGGATGCTGATAGAGGAAGAGAACCGGGAGCAGTGCTGGCTCTTGGAGTATCCTGGAACTAAGAGGGCTTCATGAGCATGGTCGGTGTCTTTCCTGGTTGAGGATCTGCATCCACCCTGCTTATCTGTTACATCATTGGCTGTCCGCTGTCTCCCAAGTGGATCTACACTGATATGCCTACAAGGTCTGGTGAGTCTGGAGCTCTTGATGGTTACCTCTGGACACCTAGAACCCCTCTACCCTCTCTCCCACACAAGATGTTCGATAAATCGTTTACTTAGCATTTTACTACTGGAGTGGACATCAGTTTATGGGCACCAGAAGAAGGGCGGTTAGTGCTAATGGGGGGGGGCAACTGAAGATCATACCCTAGACAGACTAGAAATGAACCGGGCACCAGCGGCTCCTGCGGGGGTGAGCGCCACACCGTTATGAAGTTTGTGCATCACATGACTTGATTTGGTACTTTGTGATGCTCGCTCTATTACATGTCATGACAGAATTACAGGAAACAACCCTCAGGACCTCCTCCATCCATGAACTGACCTCCCCCGATGAGAATTACCTGGACCAGGCGATTCCTTTCTCTGCGTCCCATCCCCGAGGAAGCACGCTGTGGGCGTGGGAATTGTACTGGATCCGGTAGCTCCTATAATGGTCCCACTTGTTCTTCTTGTTGGGGTTCATGAACATCAGGTACCGAGGCAGTGCGGATCCAAACTTGAAGGCGGCTCCTCTCTCGCTGACTTTGAGATGACGGTCCATCCGGGACTGGACAATGAAGTCCCCCGGGCTCCAGGGGTTGGAAATGTTCTCGTATTTCAGCTCTATGGTTTCAAAACTGTTTTCAGCACCTGAAAGAAGGTGAGAGGATGAGATGGTGGCAGAGAGATACAGAGGAAAGGAGACAACGTGACAATGTTCTTCTGCACGGGATCCCGCTACTTATATGTTGAAGCAGAACTCCAACTGTGGTCATCAGCTGATTGATGGGTGGAGCTTGCCGAGTAATCTCTTACCTGCAATGTCCAGGTCAACCTTATAGTTTATAAGGTGTGTGTGCAGGTTCCCCAGGACGTGGCTGTACACCTTACTTCCATAGTGGAGGCCATCGGGTGTGAAGAACGTGGCATGGATATAACCGGTGGCACTGACTTTGACCTCGATCACCCCATTGTGGTAGAAGATAAAGTCCCAGATATAGTCATAGTTGTAGACAGTGGACGTTGTCCTCACCACCAGGACATGGTTCTCTACCCCGGCATAGAAATTGTAGCCACCATCGTGGGTGCTGTCGAAGTGGCGGCGTAAGGGAGTCCCCGTGGGCATCTCAAAGATACACAAGGCGTTCTTATAACGCACAGGCTCATCCGTGTCATAAAAGTTGTACAGGTCCAGGTAAGTGGCCACTTCGGGGCAGTCGATACCTTTGGCCAGCTCATAGTGTACGGTTCCCATGGCCCAGCCGGAATCGATGTATTTTGTCTGCATGGCTGCCGGACTGACCCCGCTATAAAATGCGATGGCTTCCTGTATGCTGACCTCATAGGCTATGCGTTCATTGTTGTACTGTATGTCGAAGATCTGTAAACCGGCAGACGCACGCACGCGGAACGCAAAGCTCCACCCCGTATACTCTACATAGTTACCCAGAACTTTGTAACGTTTGCCCTGAGGTTCACACAGTTTGGGTCCATGAATGTTGGTGTTGGTCTTGAAATCTCCGCGTGGCATGAATGTGGAGTACGGATCCTGCTCAGTGAAATCTGTGAGGGGCACTTTGTTCAGCTCATTTCTTTCATATTTCTGAATGAGTTCCTTGACGCTATCAAAGTATTGTCCATTGTACCAGATCTTCTCCACCGCCCACTCCTTAGGGTTGAGAGAACGATGATTGAGGAGGATCTCAAAGCCTATAGGGTGGAGGAAGAAGCCATCAACAAACCTCTGTAGGATTATCCAAGACCTGCGTTCTCCAGACTTGAGGCCACGAGGGGCAATGTCGGTGAAGGTGAGGCAACGATTGGAGCAGTTATAAAAGGAGAAACCTGTAATCTCCAACAATATGTGATTAAATTCCTTTGTGACCTCCACCAGCTTCTTTTGGATCCTCTCATATTCCACATTGGTCACAGGCCGTGACTCAAATTTGATCATCTTATTTCCTTTGGGAGTTATGGGTTGGAAATAATAGGGGTGAGGAAGTGGACCCACAATGAATTCTGTGACATTGGGGTTTGGTTGGTTCCCGAACAAAATGACAACTTTGGCCTCTCGTTGGGGTTTGGGTCCATCGTTGTCTAAGAAGTTCAGAACTTTACTCTTTTTTGGCAAGTTCAGCTCCATCATAAAAATTGTATTTTTGCCGAATGTGTTCCGGATAGAAACCAGTTCCAGCTGCTGCTGATCCATGAGAAAACGTTGTATGGACTTCATCTCATCGCGAGTCAAGTCTGAGAATACGGAGGCCATATGCCGACCCTTGGACGATGACTTTCCATAGGAACTGGCTGTTGTAATGCAAAGCACGGTCACCACCTGTAGAAGGTGAGTACACCTCATGATGTCTGTTCTGTTCTGGAGCTCCTACAATGAAGAACAATCAATTCCGAGAGGTAAAGGTTACAAAATACGTCATCGGCCTCCAGAAAATGTCATACATACAGTCTAACCTGGCTTATTCCTGCTCAGAACCACCCACCTCCACTAGTCCAGCCCCCTCTACTTCCACACTCTGCTCAGAACCACCCACCTCCACTAGTCCAGCCCCCTCTACTTCCACACTCTGCTCAGAACCACCCACCTACACTAGTCCAGCCCCCTCTACTTCCACACTCTGCTCAGAACCACCCACCTCCACTAGTCCAGTCCCCTCTACTTCCACACTCTGCTCAGAACCACCCACCTCCACTAGTCCAGTCCCCTCTACTGCCTTTTCCTCCTCAGAACCACCACCCAACCCTTTTAGTCGAGCCCACACTCCTGCCCCTCCCTGCTCAGAACCACCCAACCCTGTTAGTCGAGCCCACACTACTGCCTTTCACTGCTCAGAACCCCCCACCTCTACTAGTCCAGCCCCCTCTACTGCCACTCCCTGCTCAGAACCGCCTACCTCCACTAACCTAGCCCCTTCTACTGCCACTCCCTGCTCAGAACCGCCCACCCCCACTAGTCCAGCCCCTTCTACTGCCACTCCCTGCTCAGAACCGCCCACCTCTAATAATCCAGCTCCCTCTACTGCCTCTCCCTGCTCAGAACCGCCCACCCCCACTAGTCCAGCCCCTGCTGCTGCCAATCCCTGCTCAGAACTGCCCAACCCTGTTAGTTCAGCATACTCTACTGCCACTCCGTGCTCAGAACCGCCCACCCCCCGCTAGTCCAGCCCCCTCTACTGCCTCTCCCTACTCAGGACTGCCCACCTCCACTAATCCAGCCCCTTCTACTGCTACTCCCTGCTCAGAACTGCCCAACCCTGTTAGTCCAGCCCACTCTACTGCCTCTCCCTTCTCAGAACTGCCCACCTCCACTAGTCCAGCCCCCTCTACTGCCACTCCCTGCCCAGAACCGCCCACCTCCGCTAGTCCAGCTCCAGCCCCTTCTACTTCCTTTCGCTGCTGAGAACCGGATTCCCAAAAGGTAATCAGATACTCCTTAGGGCGGTCTATGACCAAATCGTTATAGACATATCACAATGGACCTTTCCGCCAAGCCTTGGAGTACGGCCATGTAATATATTCGGTGTATGGATATATGAGAAATACATTCCATGATGGTCATAAAATAAACATGGACCAAGTTCTCATCATGTCACCCATCATGCTTAGCGGTAATACCAGAGGTTGGATATGAGGAGGTTCAGGTCTCCAGAGACTCCACATGAATAAAGCATGTTAAGGGGTGGAAGTTAAAGTTTGTAAATGATGGATGGAGATGACCTTGTGGAAGGTTGGGGAGATGCCGGTGACCATGTCACCTCCTATAAATAGTGATAGTCGGTTATATATATTGTGCATACAGCTGATTGCTCATAGCCGTCTACCGGCTCTTACGGTCATACTTGGTTCCTCTGTGACTCTTCATGGACAGGTAAGGCACCTCATAGCAATTAGATTGTCACGTGACCATAGAGAGCGGACTTGGACTGGCATGTGACGTGGACAAAAAGTTTCCCAGCACACTCCCCAGCCAGCCCGTCTCACGACTACAGAGGTCTTAGATGCGCGTCTTCTGCAGAATCTGTGGAAGCCACACTGCCCCGTCAAGGCCCCTCTATATAGTGCGGTCCTAACTCTGAGAGCCGCCATCTTGGAGCATATATAGCAAAGGACAAATTGGGTGCAGGTGCGCCAGGAGCCAGCCCAACCTCCTTAAAGGCACAGGGACACACAAGGGACCCCGCACATCCCAATGGCAGCTGAAGCCCCCGTTGTGTCCCTGCACCAAGTGCTTGCTTGTGGCATGTGACATGGACGGCACCTTTGCTGGGGAATTGTTTTACGAAGCTCTTTAATGAGAATACGAAGACACAAAATGACTCCGGTGAATGTGATGTGATGCAGAGAAGGAGCACACGTCCGAGAGAGAAGGTGAAGGGGTATCGCCATATGAGACGGCGGCCATATTGGTCACTTGCCACCCTTTAATTGTAATCTAGTTCCACTCCCAAATGATGATTTCTATTCGAAGGCAAAGACCCTCCAAGATTTCCCACAATCCCCCTCCCCAAGAATGGGATGTTTCCTAAATCGGTGGAGAACGATCACCTTCTGGAATGGGTCACCTGACATGAAAAGTCCCGTCACCTATGGACACTATAGGCAGCTGTCACCGGCCATCAATCTTATAATAACGATTTTCGTTTTCCATTCACTAGAACGTTTTGCCTGCGTGTGTGTCCTCGTCACTTCCGATGTCACCACAGATCTATCCAAAGTCCCCTTGTACCTATCAGAGGCCAACCTGTACCCCCCCCCCCC